GAGGTGTCTTTCTTAAATTTTGCCAAGATGATTTTAATTGATATAGGTACAGCGAAAGCAATACAGTAAAAAGTATTTGAAAGATGAATGGGAATTTTTACTGAACAAAGTGGGATGAATGGAACATTTTCCATTGATCAATCGATGTTGCTGTTCTGTAGAAAGTGTCTCTCTCAATTGAATTTTCAGATGACAAAGGCAAAGCATCAAACATTACTTGCAGAGCAGTTCTCCAAAGCTGAGCCAGAATCAAAGTCTCAGTGGTGTCGCCTATTATTACTTATTAATTATTACTACGAGTACTAACCTCTTAAAATTCTACAGCACTTTGCCAATTTTATAGCATGTTCATATAAATTATATTGTATCCGTCCATTTATTTATTTAACTAATACATTTTGAACACTTAATATGTGAAAATCATCAGAGTGAGGCATGCCTGGGGAATAAAGCACTGTTTGCAAAAATATTCTCAGTTAAGGCCATTTTGGGCACTGTTTTGGGTTCCCCCTATGAGGCACTACATTGAATATCTTACAGATATTTTCTCATCTGATTTCATAATAACTTTGAGGCGATTGTTGTTATCACTCTGCTTTGGGGTCATAACCCTCAAATTCAGAGAGGTTAAAAACTTATCAATTCCCTCAACTAGTAAGCAAAGGCACTGGGAACCGAATCAAAAAGTCCAACTCTTACGTCTCCTAATACTTTTAACTCAAAATGGAGAATGTTAGGTATCTAAAAAATATACAAAAATGGTATAATTAAGAGTTTAGAGATAGGAAGTGGGTAGGATCAGGGTTTGTGTTCTATTTCTACAGAAGAGGAAAGTGAGACTCTAATGACTTGGTGATTTACCTGACTTGTCTGTCTCGTGTTTCCAATATAGGCCACATAAATTATTATCCTCTCTGCCCTTGCCCTGTTGGACAACCAACTATACATCTTGCTGCCAGAAATCATAGGGGGAAGGATGTAAAAAGAGTCAAAAATTTTTACCCACTGCTGGCCAGCATTAGTGTGCCACCTCCAAAGAACTGTGAATGGGGATAAAGATGTTCAAAAGGAAAAACAAGCTTTCATCTTAATTTAATCTACTATTTGTATGATAAATAGCAGCAAGCTAAACACTTTGTGTGACCTAATGGGAAATCCCCTACAGGTGGGACAGATTTAGACTCTGTAAATAAATCTTAGAGGAGTCATGTCATTCTTTCTCTTTGGCTATATGCGGCAAGGCATCAGGCCTAGGCCAGTAGTGAGGGGTTAAATGTTATTTCAGCCCTGCTTTTAAGTGAACAAAAGTTAGTCCCAGTGAAGACTGCGGGCGGGTGAGGAGTAAAATAGGAAAGTGCATGAGCAACTGAAGAGTGGTAGTTAGATTTAGCAAAGGAAAACAGAGTGTCTACCTAAACTTGAATTTAGGATAAGCAATGAATACTGTTTAAGCGTCCCAATTATCACATGGTTAAAACAGGTTCCAAAATAGAGACAATTTATTGTCCCAGATATTGCGTGTCATGTGGACTCATACTAAAAACTTATTAGTTGTTTATCTGTGATTTAAAATTAGCTGGATGTCTTGTATTTTATCTGGTGGCCTTAGTAAAAAAAAAAAATCAAAATCCCTTAACAAGGTTCTTAATTTCAGTTACTAGGGCCTCTTAGAAGTCAAAAGTGTCTGGGTCACATTGTGGAAGAATTTACGTATTTTTTTTCATTTTACAGATTAACACTTCTAACTCAATTCAAATTTATTTTTGATATTTATTAGATAATTATAGATTATATATTTAATAATTAAACCAGGTATTACTTTTTAAACTTTTATTTTATTGTGGTAGGAACACTTAAAGCTATCTACCCTCTTAAATTTTTAAGTGTGTATGCATTATTGTTGACCATAAGTACAATGTTATACAGCATATTTCTAGAGCTTATTCATCTTGCCTGACTGAAACTTTATGAGTGTTGATTAGTAACTCTTCCTTCTTACCTTCTAGCAATAGGTAATTCCTACACTATTAAACAATGATGCTAAAATACTAAATAAAATATTAGTACGTTAAAAAAAATTAAACCATCATGCACTTTAGGTGGGTGATATGGTTGTATAGTGCACAACAAATTTAAATGTTCAAGTCTACTTTAAATCACATAAATGTACCTCAGTTATTATACATACTTATTGTGTGGAGATAATGACAACTTCTAAATTAGAGGGCTTTTCTGTAATGCACTGGAAGGCAAATACCTCTCTTCAGCCCACCAATAATTGGCAGAACTAGTCACAAGAGAGAACTGACCAATTCCTTGGAATAGTTTCCTTTTGTTTCATCTTCTGGCATAGAAAGTCATCTTCCAGATTTGAGGACTGTGTTTTCATTTCCTTTGGCTGCTGTAACAAATTACCATAAACTTGATATCTTAAAGCAATACATATTTATTTCTGTACAGTTCTGGAGTCCAACAGTTGAAAATCTCTTTCCCTGAATGGAAATCAATATGTAAGCAGGACTGTGCTCCCTCAAGAGGCTCTTGAGGAGAATCCCTTGCTTATGTTCTTTGAGCTTCTGGTGGCTGCCAGCATTCCTTGGCTTGTGGCTGCATCATTTCAATCTTTGGCTTGTGTTCACATTGTTTTTTCCTCTTTTATGTGTCACATTTCCCTCTGCCTCCTTCTCATAAAGACATATGATTGCATGTAGGGCCCACCCTAAAAATCCCAAGTAATCCCCTTATCTCAAGATCCTTAATATTATCACATCTGTAAAGTGCACTTTTTGTGTGATATAAAGTGACATTCAGAGGGTCCAGGGGACTAGAAAATGGATCTTTGGGGGCCATTATTCAGCCCGCCCCTGGAACTGAGGGGGCGTTTTGCACACAGCTGGGTCCCTGAGGAACACAAATAGGCTTGTTGGTGGGCTCTGTCAGGAACCAGTTGAGCTGGAGATGACTTTCACTGATTGTGAAGAAGGACCGAATTTCAAACGTGAAGGCTTAGTTCTCCTACACACACCCCTGATGGGAGGCGCTGGGATTGTGTCCCTCTCTTGTTTCAAATCCAGGCCTTAGACAGAAGGTGTGGTCCCACCAAAGAAAGCTGTTCTTGTGGTGTTGAGGCCAATCATATGTTCTCAATAACCCCAAATTCTGCCCATTTACTTACTCTTTTTGCTGCTATGAAGCTAAGGGGGGATAGAAACATATTCATTATTTTCAAACTTCTTGTTTGGTGCAAGGCATTGTGGGAGGTCACTGAGCATGGTGGTTAAGAGAAAAGTGTCTAAAGCAGATGGCCAGAATCCAGGTCCTGGTCTTCTAATTGCTGCCTATGTGACCCTACCTCTATGCCTCTGTTCCCCATGTATGAAATAGTCTCTGCCTCAAAAGGTGGTTGACTATTAAATGAGATAATATGTGTTAAAGTACTTGGAGCAATGGCTAGTTGCTAGATGATCTCTGAGCTCTCTAATTTAACAAATATTAGCTGCTATTGACTCGAATGGAGAAACCAAAGAGATAAGCATCCCTGTGTGAGACACTGGGGACAGCTGAGACAAGATACATTCAAAAAAAGTTTGGGAGTTAAGACAGTAAGTTCAACAAGAGGTCTGATCATTGAGAGTATTCCTTTTTTCCTTTTTTTTTTTTTTTTTTTTTTTTTTTTTTTTTTTTTTTTTTGCTTGTTTGTTCTTAAGGGAGTCAAGTAAAAGATGAGGAAGAGGGAAGGAAAAATAAATGCTATGTCTGGAGGAAAGATGGTTGTGCAAGCTTTCTGTGCTGCTGGCAGTTAGCTTTAGTGTGTGGCTGGGCAGTTGGGCAGAAAGGTATTGCACTGAGAACGCCAGCCCAATGCAGCTTGTGCTGGCGTGAAAAGACATGAAGCCCCAGCTCTGAGGCCAAGGGGGGGCTTCACATTTAGTGACCACCGAGTTATTAACCTCCCTGAGCATCATCTTAGAAAAAGTGGATAATATCTACAAGGAAGATTTGTTTTAAGGACTAAAGGAATGTGTGTGAAATCACCCAGTTAAATGCAAAATGTTTTTAGTTTTCTATAGGATCAATTATTTGGGATAAGGCAAGCATGCAGCTGAAGTCTTCATTCTTTTAAAGACAATGTAAAACCACCAAACCTTGCCTCACATTTAAGGGACATTCATTTCTCGAACATTCTTTGAACATATATTGTGTCCTGAGGAGTATACTAGGAGCTGCTGATAAAGTCATGTGTCTGAATATTAAAAATTTCTGCCTAGAGAAACTTACAGACCAAAAGTTCTGCCTAGAGAAACTTATGGACCAGTAGTAGAGACAGTAACGTAAGGAGAAAATACCACAGGGGTATTATCATTACCCTTGTATTGATCATTACCCCAGTATTATCATGAAACTACCAACATATTTCGGAGGGGTGCCCCTTTGGAAAAGAATCTCTGTCTGCAGGAACAGGCAAACGTAAATATAAAAATAGTTTTATAAAAACAACAATAAAGAAGAGGACTCAGTAGAAAATGACGTATTTGGTTTGGACTGGGCTAAAAAACGATGTTCTGGAACTTCGCTGGGCTTTTTGCACATGGAGAAAGCTGGGCTGACAGTCTTAACTCCGAAGACCAATGAATAGCTGCTGGGTGATTACTCTAAGTGACACCTGGGAATACATTTCTATAATATTAAAAGTGGGGGTATGGCTTATTGCAAAATACATCCTGATATGTACAGTACACAATATGCCTAGACCATCGCAGTAACAAAATCCAAGCGAGGTCCTGCGTGCTGAGGGGGCGGGGGAAGGTGAGCGAGGACCCCGGGACCTGTCCCTCGCCTGGAGACTAAGGGGTTTGCGGAGCGGGGGTGGGGGCTCCCGGCAGGGGAAGTTCAGAGCCGAGGGAGCGGCAGGAGCACGTGGGCTGAGGGGGGTGGGAGGACGCAGACGGAGGAGTAACCGGTGGAAGTGTCAAAGAGGAAGGAGTGGAGGGCTGCCGGGGTGACAGGGTGTGGTCTGTGGGGGAGCGGGCGGACGAGAGAGGAGGGCAGAGAGACCCACCGGGACCGAGGAGGCAGAGGGAGCGTGGCAGCGTCGCTCGGCGGGGTGACAGCCGGGAGCGCGGCGCGAGGGCCGAGTGGCGAGGGGAGTTTCCCGTCCTCGCCAAGTGGAGCCCCTGCTCGGAGCTGCGCCAGCGCCCTCCGCCTGGGCCCGCGGTGCCAGACACCTGCCGAGTCCGAAGCCGGAGTCCGGCTGAGCCTTCGGCCCCCAAGTAAGTCTTGCCTCCTTTTCTCTCCCTTTCTGCTCCGCCGCTTCTGCCTCTTTATCTGCGGAGCGAGGAGCTGCTGGCGGGGACCGCGCGCAGAGCGCACCGGGGCGCTCCGCCGCGTCCGGGGATGCTCCAGCCTCCCGGCGCGCCCGGCCGGCCGGCGCGGGGACCCGGCCCCGAGGCCCTGCCGCCCCGTTCCCGTGCGCAGCGTGCACCGAGGCGGCCGCAGAGTTGTGGGCACCGATACTCCCCGTCTTTTGTGTCTTGCCCGATCCCAGAGCCCTGCCAGGCCGGGTGGGGGGTGGGGGTGGGGGCGGGCGGGGAGGGAGCGGAAGCCACTTTATGGTTCCTGGCCCCACCTCTTGCCCTCACCCCAAATCCTTCGGGATTTCAAAATGCCGCGGACTCGGGCGCGAGTGAGTGCCAGCCCCCCAGCTGGGCTAGTTGGAGCCGAGTGGGCAGCCGGCTGGACCGTCACGCCGCCCCCCTCTTCTGATTCTCTTTTTAGATGCAGAGTCTTTAACTGGTGGGTGCTGAGAGGAAGGGCTGACTGGGGGAGCATGGGTGGCTGGGTGCAGGGAACGACCTACCTTCTTGCTTTTCGTGGGGTTTGGAGGGACGAGGGTGGGGGCACCGAGAGCCCCAAGCCCGAGCGCCCCGCGCTAGCCGGCTGGCGAGCGGCTGGCGAGCAGGCGTTCGCTGGGTGGGTCCCTTGTCTGGCTCATTGTTCGCGGTGACGGTTCTCGGGGCTGGGCTGAGCGACACAGACACTGCTCGAGGGGCTGTACATAAAAGTGACGACTTAGAGGAGTGAAGGTCAAGGCTGTCGGGAGGAAAGGGCTTACCCGCTTTTTTGGAAACGGACTTGTAACTGGGAGGGCAGTAGTAGTCGACCGCGAAAACCGCTCCTGAGTGCGAAACTTAGATCTGACTCTCAGTTCACCGAGACAGCCCAGCGAATTAAACCCTCAGAAACAGGAAACGGCATTTCCCTCGTTGAAATTATTTTCAGAGTAACGAAGATGGAGTTTTAAGTGTTAATTGGAAACTGGCTAAAGCTTTCTCTTGCTAGCACCTGTTTCCCTTAAAGGTTCCGGGGTGGGGTTTATTTTTTTTTTTCCGCCTCCGCCTCCTCCCTCCTTTTTTTAGATGTATATTTATTACATTTGTGCCTTTAGCTAGTCGAATTGCATGGTTCTGGGAGAAGAATCCATTTTTGATAGCAAAGTGTAATCTCCACTCCACAAATGGCCAAGCGCTGGTGGTGTAGACGTCCACGGCACCCCCACCCTAACCGTATGCTAACAGGCAGGGAGGCAGACATGTGCACCCAGAGTCAGAGCGAGCCTGGTATCCCTAGTTGAAGATGCTAAAAGACACCTCCTGCGTATAGTATCATTCCTTTTGTTGGAGGACAGAGACTCTGATTTTACTTTTTCCCATTATTTAAAGTGTAATATTATCACCTGTTCATGGTGCCTTTTCCTTAGCCCACTACAAAGGAGGATGCATTTTACTGAGAAAGATTCTCCTTATTTTTCTAAGGCCCTTGGGTAGTAATCAGAATAAGCTGTTGGCACAAGATATTTTAAAATTATTATTTCATATAAATATTTGTGTATGTATAAATATATATTTGTGTATATACAAGTTTAGGATATTACATACAAACATACAATATTTGTGTATATATATATTTTTTGTTTGTTTGTTTTGTTTTGTTTTGTTTTTAACTAGTTGTAAATCCCAGTAGTTACTAACACACCCAACTGCCCAGGTTATATTTTACTTTGCGTGATGGACCTGCTAAGCGTATCAGTGAAGCCTGGAGTTCCAGTCCCCGAGAGAAATAATTTCTTGTTGTTGTTTGTTTTAGCATATTATGGGGGTACAAATGTTTAGGTTACATATATTGCCCATGCTCCCCCTCCCCCTCGAGTCAGAGCTTCCCCAGGAGAAATATTTAATATGAACACTTCTCTCTGACCATAGTCTAATTCCCTAGGGTAAAACCATGCAGTGGGAGTATTGTTTAGGATATGGAAAGCTGTATGATTTATTCTAAGGAGGGAAGAGGGAGTTAGGTAGATGAAAATAAAAATGGAACCTGAGTAGGCTTCCAAGCCATACTCAAAATTCCACAGATACACATGGAGAAAAGTATATTGTGTTCTCTCTCTCCTTCATGTCTCTTTATGTCTATATCCTTAATACTGTTCATAGCAGCATTTGGACCTCTTGTTTGCTTTTTCAGCTTAAAAAAAAAAAAACTTTTCTGTTTTCAGCCTATTATTTTACATCTTCAATACCAGTAGTACCCTTTAGATGCATTGGATCATCTTTTCAATTGTTCTTTTGTTTGTCTACTTACATACCATGTCCAATTTAGGCCTGGACCACATGCACAATGAATCAACCATGTTGTAATGAAGATTAAGACATGAAAAGTATCCTCAGCTATGTATAAACTGTATACTCATTTAACCACCTTCCCACATGACCAATTTTAGCTAGTAACTTGTTCATCTTCTCAAGTCTCTAGACTCCAAATTCTTACCCAGATTGATTACTGCACTAAATCTTGATTGTGCAGAGAACAGAACTTAATTATTTTGGTCTCATTTATCAGTCAGCAGTATTTAGTGTTGCCAACATAATTATATCATTGAAATATGCATGACTTTAAAGTATGTTGGAAAAAGGTCCTTCTAAACTTGTTTCTTCATAAAGAAAAAAAAAAAGGTCCTTATGAAGCCATGATTTCACTGCTATGAGGACCCCTGGCCATTTGTGTTTATTGAGTTTACTCTTCCACAAGAAGAATGAACCATTGTTTTGTTGTCTAGGAGCTGAAGGAAGATGGAAAGTGAAAAAAGAAAATGAAGGACCTGTAAATGTTATTTTCTCTATTTGGAGAAAATGTATTTCTAAGCAAATAGTGATTATTTTCTTAAATAAGGTCTAAAATCTTATTAAGGGATCCTGAGGAGAAAGAATTTTCAGAATAGACATGCTGGCTGTTTCTATATATTCATAAAAGATTGGTGTATATAAACACATGTATTTTTGAATCAATCTCAAGATGTTTTTGTCTTTCTATAGAATTATGAAATGTTATTAAATTATTGTTGTTAAAGCATTTTAATCTCATCAGAACCTATATTTAAATGTAGTGTCTTTTTGCAAGTGCTTTAATTGTAATAGCCTGTTTGTTGAGATTAAAAAGAACATCATTGATGTCATGGTGTGCTTTGCATTTTAAAATAGTAGCTAATGAATTACAAACATTCATTACACCACAACCACTTGCTGAAATTTCTCAGGACCCCCAAATAGAGAATTATTTGTGTTATATACTATCATTCATGCCCTTGCTGAGTTCATATCGATCCTCTTTTCTTTTTCAAAATTAATTGCCTTTTAAATTAATACTCCGCTGGTCCTGACTCTTTTGTTATTTTTCTCCTGTCATAAATTTATGTGCACATATCTTCAGTGTAGTCTGTTTAGAGAACTGACTGTTGAAAACATGTGGGAATTAGTGGGAGGAGGGGTGAGGAGAGAAGAACAACTTTCATTAAACCTGGAAAGAGTCAGTACTTGACACAGGAAAAGAAGGGCAGGTTTCACTGAATAAATTCATTGAGGAATTCTTCTTTGACCTTTAAAAGTCCAAGCTTTGTAGCACACAGTATACATTTGGGTAATTCAGACACTAACTTCACATCTCATAAGTCAAAGTGATAGAGTACCATGGTGCCTTTGCTTTGATATATTTGAATGGTGGCTTTTATTCCATTCACTTTTCTTAATGAGTATTGAAAACTACCTACTGTTTGTTTTCTCATGCTGTTTCTTTTAGGGGAAGGGAGTACTGTTTTACTGATGTAAAAATGACAATTGTTGATGTTTATTTGGGGAACATTTTCTTTTAAAAGTTTAGTTTCTTCTGTGAGTTTGATGTTTACAAAATGTTTAAGGAAGATAATGTTTGACACTCAATTTTTTTAATTTTTAATTTTTTCTTTCTTTTATTTTCCCTCCACAAATAATCACAGACACTCAATTTTTATAACTAGATGCAACCAGAAACACATTGGTTAAGTGATTCAAATAAATTCACTTAACTATTAAGGTCTTCTCTCTCATGAGTTAATTTGAAGAAAGCCATTGAATTAGATTGTAATTTTAATAACTAACATTCATTTAGATTCCCTTTAACATGCATATTAACTTGATTGAATAATAAAAATATAAACATCTACAAAATGAAGATATAAGACAATGCAAATTAATGATTTTATATACTTACGATTTATAGCTTTTTTCTGATAAATTAATATTTTCATCTTAGGAGGAATGTGAATTACTTAACTGACCACATTTGCTCTTTTGCTTTGGGCATAAGAAAGCTCAGAGCTAAGTGGACATCTAATTTCTTAATCATATAAGACTGTACAATACATATATGTGATGTCTTTCCAAATGACCTTATCTTGTTCTACATAATGTATGCATTTTCCCTGTCAGGATGTCTAATTTTGTTGTTTTTGTTTTTTAATTGTGGAAGGAGACATACCATCAAAGTTGATGAATGAGTGTTTAGAAATACAGTCGAGTCTGCAAATAGTTATTAAGGTCTAATATTGCAAATGATGAGGGGATATTAGACAAAGTAAGACAGATTTGTGATCTAAAGATACTTATGTTCTGGCTGGATAGAAAAGCCATAAACACATGACAAATTAAGTAATAACGAGGCAGCACACACAAACATCTGTTGCATTAAAATGAAAGCCCAAACCCTGTGTTTAATGACATGCCACTTTCTAGAAAAACGCTATTATGGCACCAACCAGTAAAGCAAAGTATGCAAATCTTTTAATTTTTCCTGGGTACACTAAAACACAAGTAGTCTGAGGAAATGAGGGTGAAAATAAATGTTGGAAAAGTTATAGTGATTCCATGGTAGTGGAAATTCGTATCATATCTCTTTTTTTCTT